ACAATAGAGATTGCCTGTGTGGAACTGGACCGGCTTGTTGTATTGAGTGTATACAGACCTCCTTCAGCATTGTATGATTGTTTTGAAACTATTATGGATGAAGTTTTAGAAAAAAATGTCAACACTGGTAAACAATTGTTTGTTAAAAGCAATTAATCTATTACAAACCTCTAGTTTGAATATTAAATTAAGAAATCTATTTCAATCATATAATCTTGAAAACTTCATTTCATCGTTCATGGAGCCTACTAGAATAACTGCCACTTCGACCACTTGTATTGACAATATTTATACGGATATAATACCACATACAAATGTAATTGTTAATCAACTAGATAGTGATCATTGTGGCCAGATTTTATTTCCACATCCAAATAAAAATGTGACCAAGAAATATATCACTATTGTGCCAAATCTGTTAATCGTAGCATTTTAAAATTCAATTAGATAGGAAGTTGAGTTATATAAAGTATAAAAGTAGTCCAAATGATATGTATAGTGATTTTTTTAATAATTTTTGTAAAGAATTGAATGATGTCTTCGTTCCCAAAACCATATGTGTTAGTGATGCAGTAACTTTCAGCCAGTGGGCCACCCCACATACAGTATACATAAAAGAAGTAGGAAACTTTATGAACTTTACAATAAACGCAGCATTAATACTAGTGAAAGTTTCAAAGAGTACGTACGTAATTATTAACTAATTTGATTTTGCTGTACGTCATACTTTCGGCAGCAAAATCAAATTATTTAAGTAGTAAGATTAAGAATAGTAAAGACAAAATCAAAATGACTTGGAACATAATAAACAATGAATCTGGAAAATCTAAAACTCGAAATACTAGTTTTAATTCTAACATTGAACATAGAAATGTTACATCAGATGTTGAAGTTGCTACAGCATTTGAGAATTTTTTCACTGATATTCCAGTTTCAACTACAAAATCTTTGAATTCCTCCCCCATTGCTGCTGAATCAATATTAAAAGAACACACAAAACAATGTACTAGTCAATTTTAATTTAAATATGTTAACTGTAAAGATGTAATCTTCTTGATGAATGATGTTGATCTTTCAACCAATTGAATAAAAAAAAAACTGCGGATCTGTGGGGTAACTCCGTGGATGTTTCTGGATCAGTAATTGAGACAATAGCTCCTATTCTGGCTAGCATTTTTAATCAATGTGTTGACTGTGGTGTTTTTCCTGGCCTAATGAAACACAGTAAAATAACTCCATTACATAAATCGGGTAGCCTATCTGACCCCACAAACTTTAGATCCGTGTTACCCACCTTACCGTTAGTAAGATTTTCGAAAAGATTATGCTAGATCAAATGCAATCATATTTTTATAGTAATAACATTCTTCATAGTACACAATTTGGTTTCACAAGGGGTCGCTAAACAACCGGTGCCGGTTTTGAGCTTGTACAGCAAATTTTTGATGCGTGGGAGAACTCGCAAGATGCATTAGGTGTATTTTGCGACTTATCAAACAAAGGCTTTTGATTGCGATTTTCATGAAACATTGATCAGGAAACTTCACCACTATGGATTTAGAGATTGGTATCTCTGGATCTTATGGTATTTTATTTGAGTGATAAGGTTCAGAGGGTTGACATCAATGGAGTAAAATCTCCTGGTTTGTCGGTTAAGATGGGAGTTCCGCAGGGCTCAAACCTTGGTCCTTTCTTATTTTTAATTTATATCAATGACTTGCCCTATTTTGTAAAGGATAACCACGAAATAGTATTGTTTGCGGATGACACTTCACTTTTGTTTAAAATTAAACGTAGGCAGTCACAAATTGACGACGTGAACAAGTCTATTTCGAAGGTAGTCCACTGGTTCAATGTTAATAATTTGATGCTAAATGAAGGGAAAACTAAGTGTTTGAAATTTGTATTACCCAATGTGAAACAGGTAAAAACTAATGTAAATATAAAGGATCGACATATGAGCTCTGTAGATACCATAGTGTTCTTAGGAATCACACTAGATTCTAAGCTGCAGTGGGGCCCACATATTGATGGATTGTCGAAGAGACTTAGTTCTGCAGCATATGCTGTAATGAAAATACGGCAGTTAACGGATATAGAAACTGCCAGATTAGTCTACTTTAGTTATTTTCATAGTGTAATGTCTTACGGTATTTTACTGTGGGGAAATGCCGCCGACATTCAAACTATATTTGTGCTGCAGAAGAGGGCTATTCGATCAATTTATAATGTTAAAGTTAAGGATTCCTTAAGAGATAAGTTTAAATAAATAGGCATGTTGACGGTTGCATCACATTACATATGACAACTTAGTGTTTGTAAAAAAAATATTAATTTATTTACTGAAAACAGTGAAATACATACACATATTACTAGAATTAAAAATAATTTAACTTTACCTGCTACTAGGCTCCACAAAATCAATAATTCGTTTAGAGGTCTTTGTGTTCGCTTTTACAATAAAGTCCCAATCAATATTCAAGAGTTAAGCATATCTAAATTGAAATCAACCATTAAAAATCACTTGTTAAGAAAGGTTATTATAAAGTGTCTGATTATATTACAGACAAATGCTTGGGTATGAACTGTTCCAACCATTCCAACGGGTATTGTTATATGATATATATTATGAATTATGTGTTGACAATACTATAATTAAATTTGAAAGCTGTATATAAAGTTGATAACTTAAGGAAGATTATCAGACTGTTTAAGAATATTTGATTGACAAAAAGGCGTGGTCGTGATTTCTCCATTGCTTTGTTTTTATAATTGTTTGCGGTGTCCTACAGGCAAATGACCTTATTTTTAAGTAAATATGTTGTGGTTGAAATAGGTGGTTATGGGTAGTCATGCTCTCTTAATAGTCTCTTCGGCGGTGTCGTGTGAGGCGGCAAATTAATAAGCATCTGTTATAAAAAGTTACATTTGTGAATACGCTTTTGTTATTCAACAGGTAAATATATTATACTAATTATATATTATTATATATTATTATATATTTATACTAATGTTTTAAAGATGAAATATTTTAATTTTTAGGGTTCCGTACCTCAAAAGGAAAAAGCGGAACCCGTATATTAAGACCGTTTTTCTCAGGAACGCGTGGAGGTATCAAACTGAAATTCATAGCTAATACTCACATCTGTGGCGGCGACATCTATATGCCCCACATATAGACAACGGATGGAGGAAATCATTACTCACCATCCTCAAGAGATGGCGTTACCTGCACTGCGATCAATAACAGTATGGAAGCCTACATCGCGCAAATGAAATTCGGAAGCTAACTCTTCATATATACGATGCCCGACCAACATCAGTCGGGCCGCGGCCCCAGAGCTAACATCACCCAGCTCGGAGGAAGATCTTCCCCTTTGGCCTTCCTACACTACACTACACTGGTGACCCTCGACTGAGCACAGCAGCAGCAAGAAGCAACCTTCTACCACCGCAGCGCAGCCATCAATCCTCATACCCCTTCCTCATCAGGTCAAGCAACATCAGCAGCCACACAGCAAGCCAGCATCAGCCTCAAGGTTTCATCGCAGCTCTCAACGACGCTTCCTGGACCTTCGGCAGCACTCAACGGCATCATCCCGACCTGGTCTCCGCAGCCCACGACCGGTACCTCACTTGTCGGCCGCAAGCACACCGGCGTGGCAGCCCTGCACACCAGCAGCTCGGACCCACCGTCACACTCCACCTGTCTCGACTCACCGTAGACTGGAGCCACTCTGCAGCACTGGCGACGCGCCTTCACCCCACCCGTCTCGACTCACCGCAGACTGGGGCATCCTGCAGCACACTGGCACTTGCAAGCTCGACTGACGCACTGACTGCTGAAAACACTGACCATTGACCTCCGGTCTCGGAGGGGAGTGATGTGGCGGCGACATCTATATGCCCCACATATAGACAACGGATGGAGGAAATCATTACTCACCATCCTCAAGAGATGGCGTTACCTGCACTGCGATCAATAACAGTATGGAAGCCTACATCGCGCAAATGAAATTCGGAAGCTAACTCTTCATATATACGATGCCCGACCAACATCAGTCGGGCCGCGGCCCCCGAGCTAACATCACCCAGCTCGGAGGAAGATCTTCCCCTTTGGCCTTCCTACACTACACTACACTACACATCTAATGTCCCTTGGAGCTGTGAAAAAATCAAATTTCTAAGCCAAAGCAGTCAAAAGATACAACCGTTTATGCTGCAAATTTCCTCAAAATTTCGATACTCGCACGGGAATCAAAACCTGTGAAATTAGAATCTTAAAATTTGGTATGAAGTCTCATAGTACTGATAAAGTAAAAATTGCGAAAGCCGTAAATTTTTAGTTACATCATATAACAAAAATATTTTAATCAATAAAATAAAATAAAAATAAATTCTGAAAATTATCTTGTATAAGTAATAAACTACACTACGAAGTTATTTCATTTAAACTCGTAATAATAAATCAATGACGTCAACTTTACTGTACCTATATATATTTATTGAGGAACTTCGCAAATAATAAAGTTAATTATAACTTTTTCCTGTATAAAATGCAGGCGTTCGCTCTAAATGTCGATCATTCAGCATTCCACACTTAGGCCCGTATTATAGAAAGTTTCTCAGTGATTGATCTAGTCTTGAGCATAGTTGGAAGGGATGTCGCTTTAAATAGCACATAGCGAAATCCCTTTCTAACTGTATTGAAGGAAAGATCAACACTTAGATGTCATTCTGTAATACCTTAGACTCAGTATACAAAGTTTGAAAACAATAACTGATTTAAACATTCAAAACTTTTTATCACCAATAATATTTAAATCTAAAAAAATAGTTGAAGTATATTAAAGCGAATTCTTTGACAATTAATCATTGACAAAAATAGGAAGTTCTCCTGTATCAAAGATCGATAGTGGTTGTATTTTTTTCTCTCGAGCCATGGTCACCCTTCGTAATGTTGCAATGAAAATCTAGTTTTACGATTGCTCAGAAGATAACAGTCGCTCTCCGCATCGGTTCGTTTCAAGTGTGCGCATTGGAAAATGTATTAAAAAACAATAATTAGTAAAACATACGTAAAATAGTGTTTTATCCTGATAGACATAAAGTGGATTTTAGTGAGCACTTCGCCAGTGAGATTTTGCAGTGAACACTGGATTTTTAGCAGCACGATGCACAACGGAACCAAAGCCGGGTGAGTAAATTACTTTTTTAAACAATAGTTATTTTTTTATTATTATATAAATTGAATTTAATATTTCTTCTTTGTAAGTAGGTACGAATGTTCCATATAAATTTAGACATGTCCAGTTTGTATTCCGTTCACAGTTAATTAAGGTCATCCAGCGACATCAATAGGTAATTCTGCCAATGAACTTGCTGTTACGACTTACTGTAATTATAGATATTATCTTAGCGTGTGTTGCACCAAGTAACTTTGACTGTTCAGGTTACGTAAAAAATGGGTTGCATCCTTTGAAGATAGCCAAAATGAGAGGTCATAATTTGACAATGATAATTAACTATCTCACTCTTATAATATTAACTATCTCTCTATCTTACTAATATATCACCGTCACTTAACATCAGGTGGGGTGGAGTCATTATCTATAAAAAAAAATCTAAGGGGGGCCAGTTAAAGTTATACAAAATTTTACTAGCTCTGTGGACCAACTCACACTTCAGTAGGTAAAGTCATAAAGTTTTAAATTTGATTTAAGAACTTGGATGCAAGTGGGCATAAATGCCTGTGTTCAAAAGTAATAACAATACATATTATATAAAATTTTCGATGTGTTCATTCAAATATTATATCGCAAAATTTATGAACAAGCGATTAGGATGTACGGTAATGTTTACCAGACAAACTATATAAAGTATATATTATAAATCGTGTACGCTTACGGAAAAAAACAAGGCCATAAAATAAATGCTTTGTAATTACAAGTAGAATTATAAAATATAATAACTTGTATATGAATAAAACAAGTTTCAACGGTAAAGATGCACTGATTTATTTATTTATTGACGTAAATCAGTGCATCTATACTTTTTTTTGAGTGTGTATGTTGTTGGTCGCAGATGACCTTTACGGCGGGTTTAGGGACGACGAGATCCTAAGGGGACCTCAAGCCGAGAATTGGCGAGTGCCTCTAGAGGTATTCCGGATGGCATCTCCCCACTGGGGAAGCCTCCACTCCGTCTGGAGCCTCTGGACCACTCGAACCTGAAGGGTTCCGCTCAACTAAAGGGCGTCTCTGAGACTCGGAACTCGGCTCTAGTTAGCCGTTGCTGTGGGGGGCGGGGAAAAACGCCCAGGTATAGCGTGTCAACATTTATACCGTTGCAACTTGTTTTGTTTAATGAGCGGTGTGCGTGAAGACCCAAGAAACAAATACCTTGTATATGAGTTGAATACGCACCGTCTGTCAATTTTACAGACAACCGGCCACACACCAATTGAAGTTTAATTTGCTATAATAGAAATATCACATGCTTTAAACAAAACTATGTATGTAAGACATGACGTTGTAAGATGTAACCTTTAATAGTATACAAACCCGGGAATAACGATAAAATACAATTTACATTAGATACTATAAATATAAAGAAAAGTTTGACTAGAAAAAATCCACGCGGACCAGGCAGCGGACGTGACTTTCGACGCCATCGGGGCCGTGGTAGCATAATTGGTCAGTGCATTCGCCCGGATTGCGAAGGATGCGGGTTCGAGTCCCGTCCGCTGCCTGGTTGCGTGGATTTTATCTAGTAAAACTTTTCTTTAGATTTTAAACATGTAGCAGTTAAATGCTTAAAAAAAACATACTATAAATATAGGTAAATAAAAGACGCTTAAATGGGTTCAAAGTCTTTCTGCTTCTTCTTCTTATAACTTTTTTGACGTGTCGCATGATTTTCAGGCTGCGTCGTCAGAATTATGATTTTTATTTACTGTGGAGAGAGCTAGCTACCTTCGAAAGACTTTTATTGAGCGTTCGTATTAAAAATTTATTAAAAAAAAATGTTAGCTAATTTTGTGAATATGGTAGCTGATTTAATTAAGAAACTACTTTATTTAATTCTTTTTTAATTTCTGTATTTATTTGATCATAACTATCGTAAACTACCACCAGTCCCAAAGTTGGGAGATCTTTCTGAGAATAACTGGCGAAATATACTCAGAGAGACTTTTTGTCTCCTTCTCATATTAAATCACGTAAACAAAAAAAAACTAATAACTAATATATAACAACGATTATAACATTAAAAGTTGTTAAAGTGAAATATTAAGTCAACCAAGTTAAATCAATCACCAGATCCCGAAAATATCATGCCACCGCCATATTTTGCACAAAAAAAAATAATTAGATTTATGCGTTTGTGTTAAAGATGACAATATAGATCAAATCAAATCATCTTTATTGCTAATATAGGTTACAAAGTTGTTACACAGATACATTTTATGTCATTACAGCTATATTCTGCCTTATCGGCATGCAATATAATATTTTTATAAATCATTAATTTTTTTCAATGTCATATTAATAAAAACATAGTTCATTCAAAATGTCAATAAATGATAAATGTAAGATTGTAATTATTTCATGCATGTCATTTTTTCTATACTTAGTCTAATAACTTTTGTCTTCACGGACCGTGTAGTAACATTTTTCCATTAAAAAGTATTGTAATTTGTTTTTAAATATATTGGTCACGGTAATTTCTCGCACACTTTCAGGTAGTTTACTATAAATATAAGAAGCATTGCAAAAACTAAATAGTGCCGTATTACGGGGACTACAAAAACTTTTCCAATATGACGTTCACGAGTTCTGGCCTTAAATATTTTAATATTACTATTTACAAAGATTAAGATATATTTTGTATCACAGAACATTGTGTTAAAAGTTATCAATTCATGTTTAATTTTTATAATCATCAGGTTGGTAGTTCGTTCACAGTTATGTGTGAGCAAATGCTCATAACTTGACCAAAACTTGGTTCTTGCTCTCGTGTGTGAACCAATCAGGTTCGATTATTTGATGTCGCGTCGTTTGATTGGCTATTATCTATTAGATAGATTTATAGTCGAGCCGAGCCGGCATTATTCGTTCCAGTACAGTGGTCTATTATCACTCTGATAACCTCTTTCTGTCTTTTGTGGGGAAATGAGCAATTTTTAATCTAGTTAACACATAATACAAACTAATCTGCGCGGTAAGAAAAATGTATTGACGCGCATCAAATTACTACAACGTCTTCAAACTTTTTAAACGTATAAGTAAAGATGCTAAATAGACAATTAAATGCAAATATTGCATAATTTACAACTACATACTATTTGTTACAAGTGCACGCGCTTCTTACTTGTACTGGGTATCTTTTATTTGTTTTTATTACGTCACTCTGTTGAAGATTTTCTTCGTGAATTGAGACGCAATTCATAACAAGTTATGTTATGAATAACTATGAAATCTACACATCCCAGTACTAAAATACAGAAGATTTGTTTATATCATCATCATCATCAGCCTATTAATGTCCTTACTTTCTTATGGATGGAATAGGGAGATTGGGCCATGACCCAACACGCGAGCCCAGTGCGGATTGGCGGGTGCTAACGACTGCAGATGCAGCCAGGACCAACGGCTTAACCTGCCTGCCGAAGCACGGAGGAACTCCAGATAGAAGATTTTTGGTCACCAATCCAATGATCGACTACTGCGAAAGTTGCTTAACTTCAACGATCGCAGCCGAATGCGCTAACCGTGTGCACCATCGAGCTCCTCTGGCTGTTAGTCGCTTTGTTTATTTGAACACGCTAATCTCAGGAACTGTCTGTCCAATAAAAAATGTTGCAAAACAGGAGAAAAAATATTCAATTTGTGTGCTCCCGCTGCGTGCGCTGCGTAAACGGTAAAAGTTACACAAAAATCATGTATAACGGAATTGATATACCTTTAAAAGTGCTATAAAAAGTCCGCAATTGCATATATCTGTCTTTTTAGGGTGATCCACTATAACCTTTTTCCTCAAATTATTGTGGGAAAAACCGCAGGGTATCTGTAGTTAAATAATAAAATAATTAAAATGTTCAACTAGACCAACGTTAATGGCGATATTTTAAATATTTGGATCATTATCTCGCTAATCTGTTAGTATTTATAAAATTAGCGAGTAGTTTTGTGCTGAAACACCAGCCAAGTGCGAGTCGGACTTGCGTGCCGAGGGTTCCGTACAAACTCAATTTAATACCTCTGAGCTTTCATGAGAAAAGAAGAAAAACTTTGAAAATTTCAAAAACATTTTTTTTATACGATTTAACTATAAATTTATGCTTTTCGCAATTTTTCCTATATCTGTACTATAAGATGTCACTTCTTACTAAATTTCAAGATTCTAAGTTCACATGGAGTACCCTGTAGGTTTTATTTCCCATGCGAGTTTCGAAAATTTGCGCCATAAACGGCTGTATCTTTTGATTGCTTAGGCTTAGAAAATTGATTTTTTCACAGCTTCAAGGGATAATAGACATGAGTTTTAGATATGAATTTCAGTTTGATACCTCCGCGCGTTCCTGAGAAAAATGGTCTTGACGGACGGGCGGACGGACGGAAGGATAACAAAGTGATCCTATGAGGTTTCCGTTTTTCTTTTTGAGGTACGGAACCCTAAAAATTTAATAAAAATATGCAAAAACCGAATAACCAAATCAATTTTAATTTACAAATGTTTTGTTGTGTTTACAAACAATAATAAGTATATCATCCTCATTATCATAAAACAAATATAATAGGTTAGGGAAAAATATTTTTAACACACATATCAATTAGCCTAGCTCCAAAGTAAGCATTAAAGGCTTGTGTTATAGGATACTAGGGTAACGGATAGAATATTTATACTGATACATAGGTATATAAGTATATTTATTTAGAAACACATATTAAACATCCATGACTGAAGTACAAATGCTCGAATTTATCACACTAACATCTGCCCCCAAAAACCACTTGGCCACGGAGATCTTCATTATAGTATGTATGAACTTGTAATAAAATCTCTTTACACTTTGCTATACAGTTTGTATCTGGCTGGTTATAGTATCATTTCTTTTTTATTTTGTTGTGTGTGTCGTGTGATTTTCATTTGTTTTTCTAACTGTCTAAGATGAGTGAAACAAATGAACAAATTCGATAGATTTTACTACTAAATAGGAAAAAATGAAACGCAAGCCGCAAAATAAAATTTGTGATGTTTATGGACTTACCAAATTCAAAGAAAATTGTGTGATTTTCATTTGTTCTTCTTACTGTCAAGATGAATGGACTAAGGAGTGTGTAACGCAATGATCTCAGTTACTCCGTGATCATGGCGCTTGCAACAGTGCCGAAATGGAAACTCGCTAAAAACAAGGTACATGTTAACAATCCCATAAATAACTTATATTACTATAAGAACAGCCGCGAAAATAATTTGTGATGTTAATGGACCTAGTGCAGTATCTGTGAGAGCAATCCGGAAATTTTGATGTCAAAAATACACGTCGTTCTGGTCGCCCTGTTACGGATAAAATATCTATTATATTAAATTGTTGGCATTTTTAAAAAAGTGGAGCGAGATGGGCATGTCAGTAGTTACGATGTAGCTGAAGAACTGGGAATTAAACACAAAACAGTTTTAAAAAGCTCGATATTCCACTATGCCTCACGAGCTCACTGAATTCAGTTCACATTAGGTTTCTAATGAACCGTTTACTCATTTATTAACCTATGCAACGATTCTTTATTACGACATAATGACACCGAACTATTTTTAAAGAAACTGATAACTGCTGATGAAAAGTGTATCACGTACGACAAGAACGAGCGAAAAAGGTCGTGGTAAAAGGCCGGTCAGGCTTCACAGACTCTGGCGAAACTCGGGTTAAATCGCAACAAGTTGATGCTGTCTGTATAGTGGGATTAGATGGGCATTATTCATTAGCTGTAACCGCCAGGCAGGACCATCGATTCTGAACTCTACTGCGGGCAACTGATGAGATTAAAGCAAAAAGTTTAGAGAAAATGGCCGGAATTAATCAACAGAAGCTTCAATTTTCATCATGATAACGCTAGACCTCACACATCTTTAGCCACTCAGAAAAAATTAAGAGAGTTTGTTTGGAAGGTATTTATGCATCCGCCGTGTAGTCCTGACCTTGCACCTTCAGGTTTCCACCTGTTTCGGTCTCTTCAGAATTCTTTAGGCAGTGTCAGGTAAACATCATGAGAGGACTGCCAAAACTACTTGTCGCGGTTTTTAATCAAAAGCCCCAAAATTACTATAGCAATGGGATCATGACCCTACCTACAAGACGGCAAAAAGATATCGAACAAAATAGTACTTACATACTTTATTTAAATGTAAATAGGCTTTATTAAAAATGTATTGAATTTTCATATAAAATGCGATGAAACTTTTTCCCCCAACCTAATATTTGTAATAAGTAAGTAGTTATTGTTAATAGACCCTGTAACCTTAGTACAAAAGCTACTACGGCTCTTGCTGCATTGGTTTTCATTAATTTACGTCAGTTGCACAAGGCTGTATTATTAATTTAAAAATTATTACAGTGCAGACAGTAATTTGTCAAAGTAATTAATTAACGGATGGGCATAACTTAAACCGCCGTGCCATTAATTAAAGGGATACTTAGATCACAAACTTTCAACTTACCAACTTAAGACCGAACAAAGTTTTGCATAATGTTAACACAAGTTTAAGAAAAAAGTGATACTAAATTTGCTTAAACAAGGTTTGAAACAGTGTCTAAATTTTTGTAGTAAGACCACATATGTTTAATTCCTTGTGTCCATATTCACGCAAAACATTATCATAGACCATATGAAGTGCCATCTTTAGTGAAGTAAACTGTCAACAATTCGTCATAGTTATTAGAACGACATTAAGTAACTACTTAAGTTAGATGACACGTGTTTTTATAAGTAGTTGTGAACTTTGGCCGTAGGTTTTTTGTTGGCTCGTTTCTTATTTTAGTGATAGTAAGACACGGACAGAGAGTTTTTTGTAATGTAATGTCTGTGATTGAAATTACTCATTACGATAATTTTATCAGTCGGTTACATTTATCTATACGAATTAATATTACTCTCGCGTTGTAATCAACATGAACTGAATAAAAGTTTTTATTCGATATGGTTGAAAGTATTTATTGAATATGTCAGTTATTTATTTATTAGTTAAATGGTTGATAAATATATTCAACAACACTAGTACAGAGAGCTTTGCATTCGTTGGATAAAGATTCAGCAGGTACGTGTCGAAACTACTCAGTGAGAGAGATCTCATTAATTACATGCACCTGGTAAAGAACCTGTACAGATTCGGTACAGAAACGAAAACGAATCGAGCCCGCACCGACCCGGTGTGGTAGGCACCTAAGATAATCAAAACAATGGCATAAACACTTATCTGACGTGATACGTTGTGACGAGACGGAGAGCTATCGTTTTCATACATTAATACGGTTAGAAGAGAACGCTGTCGATACATCACGACAGATTGCGACACACAAGTAAAGTTCTATCCCAACTAAATGTATAAACGATAGTTCTCTGATGCCTGAACACAACACGACACATAAATATTTTTCAGCTTAAAAAAATCACTTTCTTTATTCTATTATGCACATGGCTTGTCTATTATTGAACCTACAGTAAAAAGACTCGTCGTGTGTGAGACTTGGCGGAAACATTTTGACAAAAATAGCAACTTTATATATTCGTTGCAGTAAATAAGACCGATATTCGTGTAGCAAGTGTATCACTGTAATTTATGAGGATTGTCATTGAAATCTCAATGAAAACTGACCTACTATCAAGCCAGATTCCTGCTGCTCCAGACGGAGAGGAGACTCTCCCCGTGGGCAGATGCCATCTGCCTGGAAGAACTCTCGAGGCACTCGCCAATTCTCGGCTTGAGGTCCCCTTAGGATCTCGCCGTCCCCAAACCCGGTGACGCTGTAATGGCCATCTGCAACCAACAGCATACACACTCAGAAAAATAGTATCCTGGAACGCGCTTTCCATACGCCGCTTACGAATGATAACAAAACTTCTCCTAATTTACGAAAATTGACATTGAAATCTTAATTAAAACTGACGTACTATCAAGCTAGATTCCTACTGCTAATATGAAAAAGTCACTTTACTTATAGTCGGACATCTGATAGAGAATATGCACAAAAAACTTTTCATATGCCAAAACATGCATATTGCAAAAGCTATTAGAAAATTATAAAATCTTACATAACATCAGGTGAGGTACAACAACTTCATAGCTTCACAGACTTTATAGAAGCAGAAGTAGTAAGAAGCTTGAATGACAATAAAAATGCATATCTAATCGTTTATCGGTTTCCAGGGTTCTGAACAAAGATGACATCACAGCTCAGTTGCAAACACAGTCTCCAATCACTTTGGTGGATCTACACAAGACAGAAAAGGGCAAAGACGATGACTACGATCCATTTGCGCATAGAAAACTTGCACACCCTACATCGTAAGTATCTACTTCATACCAGACATGGTGCCTGTGAGTTCATTTGCATATAAGTTACCCGTGCAAGTCCATCGGCTTTAAGAATGTGAAAAAGTGGAGGATGATCAACACATATTAATAAAATGCGTTAAAAATGCAGGGGGGAAAGGAGAAATGCGTTCTCCATTCCTAAAATTAATAGTCTTAAGACTGGCATATTACAAGGTAAATAAAACACGCTAAAACGGGTACAAAGTGCGTGTTTTTATTGCTTTTTCGACATTTCGCATTCTTTTTAGGCTTTATTTAATTCTTTTTTAATATATAAAATTTAAAGCAATTCAATAAAGTAGTTTATTAATAAAATTAACTAATAAATTCATACATAGATAAGGACAATAAAATTTCAATAATCTAAAGAAAATATTACTAGAAAAAATTCCATGCGGACCAGGCAGCAGACGGGAATTGAACGCCGAATTGATGAATGAACGACTGATGGAAAAAACATCAAAGCTTTAATTAGAATTCTAGAACTATGTACGAGTAATATAATGTGATCGGCTTTCTGCTGAAATATTGTGTTTACTAAGCGAAACACCATTTGTTTGTATTTTCTTGAGTAACCATTATTCTTTCGGAAAAGTTAATTATACTATGTTATTGTAAATAACAGTGAAGGTTGTTTTTCTAATTATATTTTCTCTAGGTTGTTTTTATAATTATATAATTTTTATATTTTGCGAGAGAACTGCTCTTGCTATTTCTCGGCTATTTTATTGACTTTTAATGGTAAGATCCCATTGCCGTGGTTTTATAGGTGGCGACAACCTCCGTAGCCGAGTGGTTTATACGCCGGGTTTCATGGTATCGCTGACTCGAGAGGTCTCGGGTTCGAATCCCGGAGGGGACAGATGTTTGTGTGATAAATATGAGCAATTTGTACTCCAGTCATGGATGTTCAATCAGTAGCGGCGTAGCATGGGTTGACATTGAGCACCCTCAAACTAAAACAGATAATACTAAACGTGCGTACGTGACTTTATTTTGCTAAAATATTCGATGACATTATCTTTACTTTTCCGTCCTTTTCAATGAACAATATGGAAAGACGTGTTTGGCTCATTTTAGATCTTAAGTAAGATTTTATCAGCTTTATTTTTGAGAAATTTCTTTCACAAGGAGCCACCGAAACACAAATAGTTAAAAAAAAACTGAGACACAGCGCTAGCCTTGGATCGAACTCAGAATAGTAACATTTTACAATAAATTTCAGCAGCTCCAGGGTAGTCCATTGGAGCGCTTCTAGAAGAAAAATGCTTGCGGCTTCTAAGTGGCACCTCAGTCGTAAAATTTTCAAAATAATATCCTCTGCAGAAAGTTCATCATAGATTTTAGTAAGATTAGGAACTATACCACGAAGTTCTTCTGTTGACGTAAGCAGAGTTTTAGACTGAATAACACTAACTTTTATGAGAATGTCATTCATTGCTCTGTAACGATGTTCTAGTTCTTTGTAAAAGCTATCAAGATATTCGAACATAGCTTTCTGCAACTATTCTGGCAATGTTTGTCCAGCATCTTAGGACATATCTCCTGGTATACCTTTTCGGAATCTCCTCCTTCCTCTTCTTTCAACGGAAATAACCAAGTCCTTACATTTTTCAGTTGCGTAGGAAATAGCTCCTTCTTCTATTTGGATACGTTGGGTTTGAAGAAACATTTTCAGGGCTTTGATTTTTATGACATACTTTTCGAGCGATAGCCCAGATACTTTCATATAATTTTGTGTCTGATTAACTTTTTCTAGGACTTCACACTAAAAAGAGAAGTAGCATAAAAAACTGAAGTCACACAAAGCTGGTAAGAGTCTGGGTGCTGCTTCTTTTGTATCAACGTTTTCTTTGCTGCTGCTGAGATCACTCATGCCTTCGAGTATTTACAGAAGTTTCTCAAAATTATTGTTCAGTGATTTAACAGCATCGTGATGAGCACTCCATCTTGTCTCTACTAGTCTTTTGACCGATACGCCTACACTTTTCATTAGCATTTCCCATCGATGTGTGGATGACGAGAAAAAAATGTTACACTTGAACTAACACTCCCGAAAGAGTGCACCCTACATAGATTTAGCGAATGATTAGCACACAGCACAAGCAAGGCTTTAGGGTGTTCTTTAATTATTGCTTGTACACCACCATGAACTCCTGCCATGGTTGCAGCATTATCATATCTCTGTGCCCGACATAGATGGATGTCCAAGTTATCAGTCTGTAACTGCGTAAGGATATTTTCAGTAAGTTCGACTGCAGTCTTTCCCGCTATAGGGAAAAACCTATTAATGATTCCTTTACTTCAACTTGATCTCCTTCAATATGAATATATCTGATTACATAACACATCTGATCATCATGTGATATGTCTGGAGTACTATCAAAAATAATTCCGCAATATTTAACTTTTTTCATGTTGTCTTAAATGTTATTCTTCAACTCTTTTTCCAAAAGACTGGTGAACTCATTTTAAATGTCTTCGGATAAATAATAATCTACCCGTTTACTTTTTATAAGGGCGATAGAACTTTCAATTATTAGCATTGCTCTTTTAGCACTGGGTCATATTTTGACAATAGATTAACTAATTCTAAGAAATTACCTCTATTGTCTGATGAAAAGAATAACATCTAAGAGGCATCTCAAAATGCCACTGCTTCTTTTCTTGATCAAAGACCATTTGATGTCTCCAAGATTTTCCTTTTTTCAAAACAGGAGAGATTGCCCTCAGAATTTTCGTCTTCAGAGACTAGCCGCCTAATTCCAAAATGAGGACTAAAGTTGGTATTGGTTTAAACCTAATGTTGTCTATAACTTCTTTTTAGCACTTTTTTTCTTATTAGTGATTAATTTTATGGTAATTTTACTCCATTTGATTTATAAACCCACTAGCTGATCCAGCGAACTTCGTACCGCCATAAAAATAGGGGCAGGTGGTAGAAGAGAAAATGTAGGGTTGTATGTATTTTTTAATACCACAATATAAAAAGAATGTCGAAAAAAATTTTAGGGGTGTGTAACGTAGTGTTCTATCAATTTCCTGGGATAACATTCCTCCTAACCCATACGAGAACACTACGTTACAATACCCAATAGTTTCAATTTTGGCGCGAAGGCGCATTGTAGGTTTCAGAACACTACATTACAGGTGGACAACCATTATCACTTAAGGATATGAAAAATAGATAGAAGCCGATTCTCAGACCCACGGAATATGCATATAAAATTTCATAAAATTCAGTCAGGCCGTTTCTGAGGAGTATGGTAACTAACATTGTGACATCAGATTTTTTTAAATAAGATTATAAATAGAAATGTCTCCTCTTTCCTTCCTTGTCGCCCTTATCGTGCAGATTCGCCAGGGGCTACTAATCTGCGCGACTGAGTTGCTATTCCGCTGTCACCCCTTGATGCTTGGCACCCGGGGCGGACCGCCCCTACCGGCCCCCCTTTACGCCGCCACTGTGTTCAATATGTATTTCTATATAAATATACTTAAATATGTACAGTATATGTATTCTATCCGTTACCCTAGTATCCCATAACACAAGCCTACAGTGCTTACTTTGCGGCTAGGCACATTTATTTATTTTTACCATACACACCAATTAGTGTGTGTAAAAAATAAATAAAAAGGAAGCGTTATTGCGATAATGCGCCCTATTTTTATTACGTCGTTACTATCGTAGCAGTGCGTATCCATTCTAATACATCATGTTCTAAATAGAGATATTGCAAAAAAATGGGTTTAATTTCGAAATTATTTAAATATAAAAATCAGTTCATTGCCAATAATCAAATACTGCTTCTGAAAGAGCGGATAGATTTTTTAAATTAGACCCACAAAGTTAACAGCACATTTGATGTTTTCTTCTTTCACTCCAAGTCTTGTGTCTAGATAATAATTCATTCTACAAACTACAAATATTATGCAAAACTTTGTTCGGTCGTAAGTTGGTAAGTTGAAAGTTCGTGATCTTAGTATGCCTATAATTAACGCTTAGTCACGGCGGTTTGAGTTATGTCCATCCGTTAATTAATTACTTTGACAAATTACTGTCTGCATGGTAATATTTTTTAAATTAATAATACAGCCGTGTGCAACTGACGTAAATTAATGGAAACCAATGCAGAGGGTGCCGTTGCAGCTTTAGTCCTAAGGTTACAGGGTCCATTAACAATAACTACTTACTTATTACAAATATAATGTTAGAAAATCACTTTTTTAGACTTTCGTAGTCCTGACAAGGTGTCATACCTCATCGTGTGGGATATCGTTGAATAGATCCTTTAAAAGGTTCCTAAGATATTTTCCGATTTAACGATCCGTTTGCGCGTCTCTGGAACTCTCTTCCTGTTGAGATTAGACGTGCACAGATATATAGGAAGGTTTAAAAGTGAGGTAAAGGATTTTTTCCTTTTACAATAATTGTTTGTTTTGTTCCCATGCATTCTCCCTGTTCTTGCTTGCATCATATGATTATTATTAAGTTTATTCAAAATGTGTATTTTATTTTATGTACCGATGTATGTTCTTATTTGTTTATTTAAATTTTTATCAGTTTCTATTATTTAATATAAACAGTAATTTTAATTATGGTTAGATTTTGTTTTATTTTTTTATTTTAGTCTTGTAATTGCACACCCCCTCTTTAATTAAAATTCATCTCTCCATCCTATGGTTATCTGGAAGAAATGGCTACATAGCCATAAGACCGCCAATTTTTCACCTATTTAAATTAATGTCCAAACTTTGTACTTTATAATGTGGTGTGTTCAAGTATTATCTATCTATCTATCACTCGTACCGTTGCCTACTCTGACCCATAGTTTGTATATTATTGTTGCAAATCTGGCTATTGGAAGTTACCACATTATTTCTCATTTCTGAAAAGCACAATAAAGTGCTTTTTGTCACCTATCATACGACCAGACATATAAAAGTTACGTCCAATAAATATTGAACATTGTTTTATTATCATGAATTTTGTTGATCAAACTTGATGACCCGAAAACAATAAAGTTTCAAGAATTAAACCTCGAGGTGTGCTACGCGTCGATTCTGTAACAAACAATCTTTCTGTTGACTCGAAATCGGATTCGATGAAATTTAACGTTTTTTTTATATAAGATGGGTGGCAAACAAGTTTATATGACGGTTTATGGTCACTTTTCTCCGTTTGTCACTCACAACCCACAACCCATCATCAGCATCATCATCCTGGGTTCGAATCCCGGTGGGGGCAGATGTTTGTGTGCTGAATACGAGCATTTGTACTCCAGTCATGGATGTTTAATATGTTTTTCTATATAAATTAACTTATATAAGTACAGTATAATGTATTCTATCCGTTACCCTAGCATCCCATAACAAAGCCTACAGTGCTTACTTTGTCTGTGTTGGAAAAAAAATATGCGAAAATTTGTCCTGTTACTACGTAATGAACTAAAAAAAATTAATAATTAAAAGAACTTTGATGCAAGTGGGATTTATAACCATCATATTTGGTGAGATTGTATGTTACGGAATCTCTCTACAATACAAAATTACATTTTTTGTTACGGTCGCCCTTTATTTCAAAGGCTGCGCAATATCTGTTGATATATTGGAAAGATCAGTGAGGGAGAAAGTTTTTATTAGAATTGATGCGTCCGTATGTGTCGTAAGCATATATATCCCAAAATGTTACCCGTTTGTAACTGCATTTTAGTAAGTATTTGTTTATGTTTTTGTGTTCGGGAAATAAGTAAAAATGTTAAATCGACCAAAATTGATATATCGACTATATTTGATACCTACTTATTTCCCGCAGTTTGGTAAATGATTTCAAGTGGGTATGGCAGATTGATAAAATTCAACACAATGAAATAGCAATACCTTTTGGTGGTATTATGTTTCTGTCGCGGTATCCAGTCAAGTTGCGAAAGTCAAAGTTAAGCAACTTTCGCAGTGGCCGGTCATTGGATGGGTGATCAAAAAATTACTATCTCGTGCTCCTCCGTGCTTCGGAAGGCGAGTTAGGCCATTGATCCCGGCTGCATCTACAGTCGTTAGCACCCACCAATCCGTAATGGGCCCGCGTGGCTGGCCATGGCCCAATCTCCCTATTCCATCTATACGGAAGGCCAGTGCCCCAGCAGTGGGGATATTAATGATGATCCTTTTAACTTGAAAAACATTTATTACTACGAGTAGTATTTTAAATTAAAATACTTACTTGCAGACGCCAGCGCCAATTTTACCAATTAACTCATTATTATTTACGAGAAAGTGAGGCCCATCATATCCTAACCTAAATTCACCAAATTCAGTTCTGAGTTTAAAAGTCTCTAACTTCGTAACGAAACATACAAACAAAGTATTTTTATCATTCATAAAATTCAAAATATCTTTATTCAAATTAGATGCATACTTTTCTGAATCATTCAAGCATTTTTCCTCAACCTCTCGTTATTACACATATTTTATAACTGCGGAGAAAAACGAGCGAAAAAATCTTCACAACATTAAAAGAATATTGTAACAACATTTACATCATTTTGTGACAACTTTTATAACATTATGATTTATTTCATACAGAAAACCTGTTGGAATGATGAAAACAGTTCAAACCCAAGCATTTTTGACTGCAATATAACCAGATACTTTGTCATTAGCTTTTTAATAAGTGCTTTTATTGTATCTTAGAATTTATTTAAAGTTAACTCTTGGATTAGATATTTTATAGTATTAGAGAGTATAGAAAATTTTACAATGTGTTTTTGTTTCCAGGACCCTGGGATCCTTCTTCCACCTGCTGAAATCGTCACTCGGCACCGGTTTGCTCGCGATGCCGATGGCTTTCAAGTCCACGGGTCTGATCCCTGGAGTTATAGGCACCATATTTGTGGCGGTAGTGGCGACTCATTGTGTTCACATCCTGGTAAAAAGAATGTTGTTATTTTTAACCAGAGAGCTTAAGATATTTTTGCTCTATTAACTGATGGTATTTTTAACAATAGGTCCCTGAAATTGTAGAATACGATTTGCAAAGCAGGGGAGAAGAAGAAATACAAAGAAATATTTTATATAACGCACAATAAGACTGCACACAAATATCAATATTCTGTTTTATTGTTGCTGAAGTAAGGTCTTAATAGTTTCATTGTTTAAAACACAAAAGTAAGGTTTAAAAAATATTGTTTTGATCGGGTAACAGAATCAAAATTTCTTTTAACGATCCATCTGAGAACAAGAGAAACACATAGAAAAACGTCGGCTGCTAAAAATATTTAACTAAGTAATAATGACAAAGAAAATGGAAGTATGGTCAAATGAAACAAATTGGGATTTAGTCTCAAAACAGAGCACATTAAGATTTTTATTTGAAAAAGGTGGCAAACAAGCACATTGCCTACTCTGACTCAATCTCCTACCCCGTGGAGCCCTGAAATCTTACGCACTTACAGAAACACTACATCAAAAGGTAGTGTTATTTTACTGTGAGCAGGTTAATTCCCCAGACGGGGCTCCAATTCGAGCGGGAAATCCACTATATCCTGCATTTCTTATTAAGTAGTATATATACGTCACTTAACGAAAATTTTCTTGAAACAAAAACCCACTATATCCCTACTTTAAAAACCCCTATATAAATCCTTACCAAGAAACAAAAATCCGCCGAGGTTTGGGTTCGTTGAAAACAAATGTCAGGAAAAGAAAAATGTAAGCTTCACTTTGTTTATTAATGCATTCCGGAAGGAAATCTGAGCAAGCAAATCGTATTCCCCCGATGCATGCAAATCCTCTTTGCGACTTACTCGTACTGAGGACAAATCGTTCGTTTCGTGACATTGAGACTTTCAGATTCAGGGTATGATCAGAGCAATAACATGGAAAAAAATAACTTTTTTAACGAAAACGAGTCAGTGGAGCACTTTCTTTAACATAAAATACGTTAATCCCCCCATGCCCGTATAGTCCCGTTCATACGATACCCTTCAAAAGTGTGTACCACGAAAGGCAACGGCATGGCTGTGTCTGCTCGTCTGCCTTTGAAGGCAATTAAAAGAACTTGTCAAACATAGAAAACTACGTCTCATGGTAAAAGGGAATTAATATTTCCTGCGAATCTGATTTATATTTAATCTAATGAATTAAAAAAATTAATTATCAGTATCCTGATGGTGAAACGTAGAAGGATATTCAAATTACGAAAAGCGATAGATCCAAATAAATGAATGGACTCATATTGAACGACTATGTTAATTTCACAACGAAATTAAGTATTCTTATCGCATTTAAGGATTACGGGTACTATAAAATGTTATTGTCTATTTGAGAACGAATTAACTGTGCAATGCGAAATCCTAGCCCGCTATATAACTTGGTCAAATGGATTCATTTGAAGTTTACAACATTCGAAGTGAACAGAATAGTCTAGTTCAATGTAGCTACCTACTGGTATTGAATTTAATTACTCTGTAATCGCTTTGTTTATTGCAGTATTAGAATCAATTTATATCGGCCATATTCAGAGACGTCGATAAAATTCAATGATTGTCGGTGTATTTTTGCTTTTGGTGGTCTACAATTTTTTTATAATCTCACAGGAAATATGACATACTAGCTTTTGTCCGTCTTTTGACTTCGTCCGCATTTTCGTCGATTTTCGTAAAAAAGTAGCATATGTCCTTCCTCAGGGTTCCGTGGTTTTGATGTGACAGACAGATTAACTTTAGTATTTTAGTAGGGAAATATAATATGTCAATCCACAATACTGTTAAAAATATCGCAATAAGGAACCGCAGAATATTATTATTATCACTGTGCCCCGAGACCATCAGCGTGTAACTCCTTGTATGTTATTATGTTAATGTATTGGTAATATTGTTTAGATCGCTTTCACATGAGGCTTAAGTACATATAGAATGAAAATACTTCAGCGCAAAGCTTCCGGGTAAACTACGTTGAAAGTTGACCCGTCCGGCACGTGAACAGAAAAATTTCTAGGACCGCTAACCCGGGAAAGAGCGACATAACTGACCATGTGAAAAACAACTGACACCGAGATCTACTCCAGCAACACGAAAAGTCTGCCCTTGAGCCTTATTTATTATCATTGCATAACACACCGATACCGGGAATTGCGTTCTTTTGAATTGGAATGGAAAATTATTTGGTATTATGGGAATTCTGGGAATAAAGATGGTTTCTCCTGCACCGCAACCTGTTAAAATTTGAGCCTCGATTACATTTTGTTGCAACTGGGTTACTTTAAGCCGAGTTCCATTGCAAATTTGTGGTGGTCTTAAATTTCGGAGCAGATTAATCGGAATGCCAATTTTTAAACAAATTTCATGAGAAGGAAGTCCGGGCATATTTAAAGAATTTAAAAATTCTATCAGGTAATTAGTGGTTTCTTGTTCATCGGCCATTCTATTTATTGAACTATAAACATTGCTTTCCCCCTGGATATTCGACAGTATTTTATTATTAATCTCAGATGCCTGGTCATTGCGAGGAGTTAAAATGGACCTTTCGCATAGCCAAGAATTGTCCTTATTTAATATATTTGTTACGTCACCGTAAACTGACGGTGTAAGATGTTGTTGGGATTGCACTATACAACATAACTCAGGCGTCAGAATAAGTTTTCCTTGGTGTAGCAGTGGATAGGTATCTTTGGTGAAGGTATTTTCTTTAATAATATATCAGAAAATTCACGATCATCCGGGTTATCTACAGTTCTCACTCGCATGTTTATAGTCAAATGCACCGATTGTATATCACGCCACAAATAAGAGCTTTTCAGGCAAGCCCTAACCTCATCAGCTCGGGTTCCCCGTGGTATTACCGGTAAGGTTTGTCGGAAATCACCACAAAATAAAACTGTGATACCGCCCATTGGTCGATCATTTTGTCTTATATCCCTTAAAAGTTCTGTCTTCCGCTACTGCTTCTACTCCTTTTCGATGGGCCATCGTACATTCATCCCATATGATTAAATTACACTTTGAACGAATATTTAAACACTACCAAAACAACTAATACGTGGTTCTAACTTTAGCTACCTTACACTTAAAATCTAAGTGACTATTTAAACTAAAATATTCTTATAGAATTATAACCAGAAATATATACAACTCACAACAAAAAAGAAATGAAAATAAAGCTGAAACGCCTGTGCAATACTATCTACCTATACCTACTTCACTTAAAAATAAATACTTATAACTACTTTAATTAATAAAAGTACCTACGCTTAATAATTTTTAATTTGAGCGAATATTTAAACACTACCAAAACAACTAATACCTATTTTACAAAATAACAACAAAAGAAATTTAAATAAACTATTTAAAGTCTAAAAGTCGCGCTGATAAGCACGGTTTCTCAATATTTCTCAATTATTGTCTGTCAATAAGGTCGAACGCTCTGATTGCATCAACACCCAAATATTGAAGCTCGCTCGCTCTCTTTTTTTTTATTTTTTTTGTTTCCTCCCAGGTGGGGGAGCAGGTGAGAAATCCTCATGGATACCCTACAGCCGGCTGCAAGGTTATGTCAGACTCGTACTGACTAAAAAACACCCGTAGGGGCTGCCTCTGGCCGGGAAGGCCTCTAAGGCTTCATCGGAAGCGATCGCCCCCAGGGGGGGGAGCGGCGCGATGGCTTATTTCATGTATAAGTTTGGTGTATCTATACCGATTTCTATGTTTTGTTTTTATTGAATAGGTAATAAATAGGTAATATTTTTTTTAAATTAGGGATGAGTCAGAGTATTATAAACGTAAGAGTAAACAAATATGATCAGAATGCACCGAACTGCTAAGCTATCGGGAGTTACACGTGTTACTGTGAGTCAACCATAAAAGATAGACATATACTGTTGCGGGATATTTTCTAGAAAATTTTATGTAGAATATTTCCGTCATACATGATTTCTATGTAACTTTAATCGTTAAGGCTGCACACGCGACGGAAGCTTAAAAAATGGAGTAACTTCTCCCGTTTTCCCAACATTTGCCTTCAATACTCTGCTCCTATTGATTGTAGCGTGATGAAAAGTATACTATAACCTGCCCAGGAGTATGAAGAATAATTGTACCAAGTTTCGTTAAAATCCGTCGAGTAGTTTTTGTTTCTATAAGGAACATACACACAGACAGACAGACAGACAAAAATTTACTGATTGCATTTTTGGCATCAGTATCGATCACTAATCACCCCCTGATAGTTATTTTAAAAATATATTTCATGTACAGAATTGACATCTCTACAGATTTATTATAAGTAGTATAGATTATAGCAAAACTTTAGTTTTTTGAGAATACCCAGGGACCTGGCATATTTGAGGAATAAAACTATCCTATGTTTCATCTAGGTTTTGTCAGTGTCTAATTATAGCAGTGATGAATTAAGAATCTCCTCCTTCTTGGAGTCGGTTAAAAAAAATACCTATAATAATTAGGACTAGTACTACAAATAATATCCAAATACACTTTAACAAAAACTGTATGTACATTAAAAATCTTTAATAATATACCCAATGACTTAATAGTAGATAGTATTATAAGAGAGCAAAATAATATTATTACGGCGAGAGATTCAAAAAACGTCGCCCGAGCTAAAAATATATTTTGCGCCCGGGTAGTGCAATATACTTTATCACCCACTATGAGAAAATAAAAGGCGCCTCATGTTTTATTGTAGTATTATTAATTTATAAAACATGGGGTCAGAGCTAAATTGAAATTAACTTGTATCTAATAATAAAACAACTAGGTAAAAAGTTATACTTACATTTGAGACATTTTCGCAATAGGGTATTTGACAGTATTAAAAATCAAGTGCCAATTGTCAGCATCTGTATTTAGAATGATTATTGGCAGGGGATTTTACTATTTTTATAAAAAAAATATTCAAAATTTTACTAAAAACCCACGAAAAAGATAATAGTTTTCTGATCTATTGTCACGTGACCCAATACGCTTGGGATTGGCGGAGCCTAAAATTAATGACGTCACACGGAAGTCAACTTCCGGTTAAAGAGACATTACATTATATCGTTTGACGTTTTAATAACAGTCGTGTGACGTCACACACTTAGGGTTGCCAGGTGTCCGACTTTGGCCGGACATGTTTGGCTTTTTGCGGTCGCGTCCGGCCAATTATGTACGCGTTTGGCCTGTCCGGCTTTTGTCAGGCTTTTTGTCAGAGTAGCGATTCCTACGACGATGGGCGGACGAGCGTCCGAGCGGACAAGAGAGCAAACTGTTAGCGCGCGCGGCGTACTTTTTCAACAGCCTAGCTGTATAAACATAATGTTTGGCAATAAGAAAAATATGTCCGGCTTTTAGGGCAAAATGGCAGGCCTTATATAGTGCGCAGTCCGGCCTTTGCATTTTATGGCCTGGCAACCCTACACACACTAGTAAGACGCCATATTGTCCAGAGAGATGTTTTCGCGGCAACTTGAAAATGGTGTTTTTGATTTGGTTATTTTTACTAAAATACACAACAGAATGATGAGTATCCACTTTTTACAGTTTTATTAGTTCCATTTCTTAGACTTATATAAGGGATTGAAAGCTAATTACTGCCCGCTAAAAGTTTCTTATAGAAAACACCACCTTTGGGTGCACTTAAAGGCGAAGTCGTCCTTTTCAAATAGATGGGATAAAAAAATAATCATTACATTAAATAGCGTAGACCTGTTTTAAATTGATTAAATTTAAAACAGGTCTTATCTTACCTCACATACATTATATGATATGAAGGAATTTTTCAATTTAAGACGTTAATCTTAACCTGGTCCAATATTTAACAGTTATATTATATATCACCTTGTATCCATATCACGTTTAATGTATTTTAGGCAAATTTTAAATAATGTATGACATTTGAATTTGCCTGCCATCCTATTGGCTTAACATGCTTAGGACATAAATAAAAATTGGTTTCGCTTTCATTCAAAGCATTTATCTATAGCTTAGCACTATGTCTTAATTTTACATCTGTAACTACCATGTTTGATTGCAAATAAAGATTATTATTATTAATAACCTATATGACCACTTTAATTTTCTCATTTTATGTTTACAGGTCAACACTTCCCGGGAGCTATGCAGGATATGCCGCATACCATCGCTAAGTTACACAGACACCTGCGAGCAAGCCTTTAAGCAAGGCCCGAAGCGATTGAGGGCATATTCTACGTCAGTAAGGTACTTATATGACAGTTGAATCGATTGGAAATTACTTAATTTGAGACATTTACACACAAACCGCTAGAAACTCACAAATTTTTTGTTAGAAATCGAAATCGCAAAAAATTCTAGCGTGCGAGGCAAGCAAGTCGCGTTTTGTTTTGGTTTGAACATATTAATGTTACGTCACAATTCGACAAAGGACCATGCACATAATACATCAGATTTTGAATTCAGTACAAAGGTGCCGAACCGAAAATTCCTATTAGTGCTGAGAAAAATTCAATTGGGCGGAAAACTCTATAACGCACAGAACACAGAAGGAGTTTAGAAGGATCATCAAAGACCGGCTCGACCACACTATACTTCCACCTAATAGATAATAATGAATCAAACGACGCGACATCAATCAATCGAAGCAATAAGCGCTCACACCCGGCGGCAACGATCATTCAGAACCAAGTTTTGGTCAAGTTATGAACATTTGCTCAAACATAACTGTGGCGCGCCTGCCCCGCCCACAAGGCCATTCTAACCTCTTCCTGTGTTCTGTACTGTAACGCCTAAAAATGTTGCAGAATCTTTGTCGTGAATGGTAATTTTAATGTGCCCCCAACCCCACTGCCCCGCGGGCTACCTACATTCCTACTTCAGTTAATATTTATTTCAGATAAAATCAAAATTGTATAAGACTCTCGTATCGCTATAAAGCTTATAAAAATGTTGTAGTGAATTCTCGTGTCCGAAAAGCTTCGTTTTCCGGGTGGCTGATCTTGGTGAGAGACCCAGCGCAATCAACAATGCTCGTGAACAATACGGTTTCACTCATTATACATGTATACAGCAAGGAATCTAACAGGATTAGGGTCTTTAAACTTTTGGACCGACAAACAGAAGTTTGTTCAGTAAAACGAAAGTTCGTTTGGTTGACGACATTAACAAGAACACACTCAGCAAATTAAGGCCTAATTTTTAGACATTAAATTACAATGGTTGGAAGAAAGCAATATTTAAGTTTTGTCACTGATCAGCCTATTAATGTTCCCACTGCTGGGGCACGGGCCTTCCCTATTGACGGAATAGGAAGATTGGGCCATGACCTACCACGCGGGCCCAGTGCAGATGTGCTAACCTAAAACCTAACCTAAAACCGAAACTTTTTATCGTGGCTTCCGATGCACGGTGCAGCTCAAACGGCAAATTTTTGAAATAAAATAACCAACCATTGCGAAAGTTTCTTGACTTTAAAAACTCAAACTCAAAATCATTTATTCAGTCTAGGCTGTTGAAAGGTCTTGTAAAGGTCTATGCCATTGTATCGTAAATCTACGGCTACCTTGTACTGAGAAGAACTGGCAAGAAACTCAGCAAGGGTATTTTTTTCTCCCTGTTTTATTAAAACATAAATAAATACAGTTTAGGTTAAGTTAAGAAAAGTACAACCGCAGACGTTATTTTTATTTTCTAAATTTATTTTATTAATTTAAGTACATTATTTACAAGGAAAACTAGTTTAGGTTTAGAACATAATATCAAACGAGTTTGAGTTTTTACTATTCTAGCAGAATATTTTATTTTTGGTCATCGCACAAATTTATTCCAATTAAATATAACAACAAATCAGTAACAAAACCATGAAAACATAAATTAAACTTTGTCGGAACAGGCATATTATGACCATAATGGCTGTTCCAACAAAGTTTTAAGTACACGAAATTATAACAAATTTTAACAAATGTTTACTAAGTACAGACTTTTTAAGACATAGAAATAGCAATCAATAACGCAAATATATAGGTATTTTTAAGTTTGATTACAGTTGATTATGTTGGGTTCTTTGCAATTACTATAGATTCAATCTTTCTTTGCCAAGAATAATTAAAGTTGTAATTAGTGAAAAGACAAAAAAAAAACACTTTTGCCCATCCCAACAGGGACAAATTGACCAAAACAAAAATTTCAATTCAGGGTATTGAGGCCTCTTTTATTTCATACATTACTAAAGTGTTTACAACTTTACTAATGTTTGTTTCAAGGTATTTCGCTGACTCAGCAATGGCGGGCATCTGTATAGGTGGTACCAGTGTCTACGTGTTGTTCATAGCTACATCGTTGAAAGACGTGAGTAAAATCAGATATACAATTATTTTAGTTAATCCTATTTCCAAATAAGTTGATAAAATTAGGCCCTCTACTCCCAAATCCCTATATATCCTAAAGTAAAATTGATGATATTGATTGAAAAATTTGACAATAAAGATATACAAATAAAAATAAATCATAAAACAACAACTAGAAAAATCACTCATTTAAAATAACAAAAAAATAATATGGTAAACGGACCAATGCATTTTTAGTACCATTTTTAATGAACGAAATACCGACAGAAATTTTGCAAGACATAACTAGTAAAAATTGTAAATATAAAATATAATTAATACTTTTACGACACTTAATTAACTGTTCTACTAAAGAAAGGGTATCCTCCTGTATTATCCACACCGACAACTAGCATCGTACCTGTATGGCTTATCGTATTTTTTTAGATATTGGCGGGTAAACGTTATAACATTTATAAAAATGTAAACGTTATACCTTCTTACTCGTAAAATTGTATGAGCTATGGAAATAGGGTATTTTACAGTATTAAAAATCAAGTGCCAATTATTAGCATCTGTTTAGAACGATTATTGGCAGAGGGTTTTACTATTTTTATAAAAATAATATTCTAAATTTTACTAAAAACCCACGAAAAAGATAAGTTTTCTTATCTATTGTCACGTGACCCAAAACGAACGGATTGGCGGAGCCTAAAAGTAATGACGTCACACAGAAGTAAACTTCCGGCTAAAGTGACATTACATTGTATCGTTTGACGTTTTAATAACAGTCGTGTTATGTCACACACTAGTAAGACGCCATATTGTCCAGAAAAACGTTTTCCCGGCAACTTGAAAATGGAGTTTTTAATTTGGTTATTTTTACTGAAATACGCAACAGAATGATGAATATCCATTTTTTATGGACTCCTTAAACATTAGTCAATAACGTGAGATCGTTTTCTAAAACTTGTCAAATACCCTTGTTGTATATTTGCGCTGTTATGTATTATTATCTATAACGCATAATTACTTTTAGGCAGGTTAAAATATAAATTGATACTGTAATATTTATGTTATTTGTGTAGTAAATAGAATGTTTAACTTGATTAATAAAATATGAATGAGAAGTAACAGTGTAATTCCATGGTTTATTTTGGCTTTCAAGTATTTCTGAATACTTAATGTCTCATGGTTTGCTATATGCCAAGAACTGGAAAAATATAATTTACGAATATCAAACTATGTATTCACGGCTTAAGTGACTCAGTATCCGGACAAACCCAATGTGGATTTTTGTGGTACTTTTTGTTAATTACTCTATTTTGTTTATATTATCAAATAATGAATAAAAATGTATCCAGACATTGTCACATGAGTGTCTGAATTCCTTCTGATTTTTTTTGGATGTTTGGATGTTACTAATGCTATGACCAAAATATTGCTCTATCGCGAACATTTGCTGTTTTCATGACGCATATCTATCCAAGCAATAATCACATTTCTGGCCGTGTTCTTAAATGTGACTATTACTTGGCCCAAATTGTCGTGAAAACGAAAAATGTAGTACAAGACACAATCAATTGATAATTCTTTCATGGGAGAGCCAAATATATTAGTATATATATATAACAGCAAACTATTCAGTGTTTCGATTATGTTATCTCTTTCACCTCATTTAGCAATACCTATACTGAAATGTTAGCAGAATGGAAAAAATATGTGAATTCATCTGCTACTGAATAATAATACTTACCTACATGTTTTGTTTGGTTTTGGAAGCACTGTAACGTAAAGGTAAAAACCGTTTTACTTTTTGTACACTTAATAAAAATGGATCAAAGAAGACAGGCCAAAGAAAACGGATGGTAAGTAGGTAAACCGTACTTCAGGGAAACACTTAAGTGAATATCTTAAGGGAATAAGTAGTTGCTCCGTGACTTCTTATTCCAAACAGTTCCATTTGGAACTATATACCTACAATATTTTCATTACTATAAAATACATTGTGGTAAATATGTAATGTATAAATCGTAGCATAATTTGATAAATAGAATCTTCGCGAAAATTCTTGGATGTTTGCGAAGATGCGGGCACTTATATAACAGCGATGACTTTGCGTATCCTTACTGCTTATGATATTTTTTTCTGGCGCTTCGTCAGCCGCTAACATGGCACGTACGCTACGCTCACTCAGCTCGCACATCATAGTTACAACACTGACATAAGTTACTGTGAATCGATAAACCCTTTTTTCTGTGAGTATGCTGTTGGTCGTAGATGACCTTTGCAGCGTCACCGGGTTTGGGGACGGCGAGATAGTAATAAACGGGGAGGGATGTTATGTATGTAAGTACGGCGGTACTTGAATAATAAATGTTGCCGGGTGATTGTAAGAACGTTGAATAAAGATTGCGATTCGACTGCTCAAACTGTGAATGGGGACCTCAAGCCCAGAATTGGCGAGTGCGTCTAACTTCTAGTTATTCCAGGCGGATGACATCTCCCCACGGGGGGAGCCGCCTCTCCGTCTGCAGCTTCTAGACCACTTGAACCTGAGGGGGTCGGCTCAACTAGAGGGCGTCTCTGAGACTCAGACCTCGGCTCTAGTTAGCCTTTGCCGGTTGGGGGGCAGGGAAAAACGCCCAGGTACGTACCTCTACCTGGTATAGCGTTTCGTGTGTAGACCGGGCCTTCACATTCTTATTCTACAGGTGCGTTGTCTGTCTAATGCTAAGTTAGTGTGCAAGTATGCTAGCTGTGTAGTGTTGGTATTCGTGGCCTGTGTGGGAGGAGTCGGAGGCGCGTTGGCGTGGGTGATTTCGTCGTCGGGTTACTCTAAGGCCCGTATTATAGAAAGATTTTCAGTGATTGATCTAGTCTTGAGCATAGTTAGAAAGGGATATATAGGTATATGCTGTATATTCGCTATATACAGCACATAGCGACATCCCTTTCTAAGTGTACTCAAGTAAAGATCAACACTTAGTTGTCATTCTGTAATACGGGCCTAAGACTTGCCTAGGGCGACAGAATCGGAGGGACCTGCGACTGGAGGACGGGAGGACGTGCGATAACTGTATAACAGCAGTTACAAAATAATTTAATGCCTTTTTTTCTTTGCTGATATGTATTGAGAAATATTATATAAGCTTTAAAGTTATTGTTTTAAAATGATTAGACCTATTTTTCTTCCGATCATCAACTCACTAAAATTTACTTTCACTTTCATTACCTTTTAATAGATGAGATTTGAAACTGGTGATATTACAAATTACTTATCGTTTAAATCATAATAATGAAATGCTGATAGTATTATATCTTTCGAAACAATAGATTAGTATCATTAAAATAAGTATTGAATGTATTATAAACTTCAAAAAGTTTAACCAGAAACTTCATTGTAATGAGTAGAGTTCTACTTATTATATAAACACATTCGTATCTACTTTATAACAATTACTTCTTAATATATAGTTTCCCATGCTGGTCTTAGCGAGATTATTCGTCCAAGCCAAAGGTTTTAGATTGCAGAAATAAACATGAAACCCCGGTAGCTGCTAAATTTCTAAAGCAGATAGTAAAAGTCTTTCAACAAATATTTCAATTTGTTATGGCTTACGGATAATAGCAAGTTGTTGCCGCGTTCGACTGCGATCGTTGAAATTAAGCAACTTTCACAGTGTTCGGTTATTGGATGGGTGACCAGAAATTTGCTATCTGGAGCTCCGTCGTGCCTCCTTGCTTTGGACACACGTTAAGACGTAAGTCCCAGCTGCATCTGCAGTGGTTAGCACCCACTAATCTGCACTGGGCCTGTGTGATGGGTTATGGCCCAATCTCCCTATTCCATCCATAGGGATGACCTGTGCCCCAGCAGTGAGGACATTAATAGGCTGATGATACTGGCATTAAGAATCTATTTACCAAGATTGTCTAATTTTCATCGAACTTCTTACGATTATTTTAACTTAATAAATCACTCTAGGCAATTTGTCTTAATTTCGTTGCCAAATTGAAATCGTTGACTCATAAAGTTGTATATTTCATTTATTTATTATTTATTCTACAATTATCTTAAGCTAGCTCTGCGTTAAGGGATGATAAGTCTAAATAAAGGAAATATAAGTATAGAATTTTGTTTAATAATTGGCCAAGTGGGTGTCGTGCCGCGCGCAGTGTAGTGTTCCGTAGTTGCCTGTCGTTACCACAATATATTGCTTGAGAAAATCTTTATTATTACCCAAAGTTGAACGACTATTACTCCTAAAGTAACAAATTTTTCTTTACCGTTATAATTTTCCCGAAAAGTTCATGAAAAGCACCATTGTCATGATTTTTTCCAGGGTTTTTTCAAGCCAATCGTTTATCTTTTAGAGAGCGGACACCCTACTCGAACAGAAATTAATACTTTAAAGTTTAATATTTCGCACACGGATCCCTTAATCGAAAAATAGTCTTGGGAACCCCTAAGTAATGTTAATGGACTTATTCAATGATACCCCACACGATGGGGTGGACGGTGACGACGAGAAACATCCCCAGGGCATATGTAGGAATGCTACCCTCAAAAAAATATTTTTATAAATATTATTCTACCTTATGTTGGCGTGATTGATATACATATCTCCACAAAATTACAGCTCTCTATTGCTAGCAGTCTGCAAGCAAACCCGGGGACGGACAGATAGACGGACATGACGAAACTATAAGGGTTCCTTGTTAGGACTACGGAACCCTAAAAAAGAGATCATGTTAGTAATGTCATAAGTTGACTAAATATTTAGTTTTTCAATTTTGTAAAAGAAATCACGGTTTTTATAGATAAAATATTTATTAACCTAGCAAGTCTTTAACAAACACTAATATTTTTACAAACAAAATAGAGTCTTATTCTAAAGCTATGAATAAATTAAAAATAAATTAATTTTAAATGCAATAATTTAAAGATCGATTTGGTTTGGTTTTATCGTGAAAAGATTATAAACATACTTAGAGGCTTTGACTACTGAGGTGCTCGGA